TCTCTGGGTGGACTCAAACCTCCAACCTTTAGGTGAGCGTGTTCAGCATTTGCCCCACCCTCCCCCCGTGGTCCCTGCATGAAGACATCTTGCAATAACTCTTGAAGCCTTGCTGTTGTTTATTTCCATCCTTTTGGGGGCTGGGTGGTGTACCACAGGGGCTAGTGTGGGATAGGATTCAGTTATAGCTAGAAGAAGACACAGGGGACTGGGGTCCCCGGGAACTCTGGGCTTGTGTCCTGAGACCCCAGCCCCAGCCAGAAGGTGCAGAAGGAAGATGTCTGCTCAGAGCTCATCTGTGTCTTTCTGAACCAGAACTGCACTCTCCCCAAAGCAGGAAAGGCAAGTAGAGATAAATGTGTCCCATGACAGGGACACACATTAATGTCCATCACAGATAAAGCCTGCCCAGTCCTAAGGCCAAGCACAGGGTCACTGAAGTCTAGGCTATCCCGAGAGCAGGAGCAGGGCTCAGCCAAGGGATGGAGGAGCAAAGCTGGTCCTTGGACATCTGGGTGGTCTGTGTGTCCATGGACAGGACTATCCCCACACCTTGGTTCATGTCCTTCACACAGGGCGGGATGGGGAGTTCAGCATCTTCCCCTGGGGGCTCAGTAAGGTCCAATGAGGGTCACCATACAAGGGAACAGGCAGGAGCCGCTGGGCCCCTAAATCACTGTCATCTGAACATCCCCCTGCTGAAGCTGGTGAGGTGGGAAGCAGTAACCCGAAACCTACATGTAGACAAGGATAGCTAAGACCAGCTGTGCTTCGAGCCTGAGGACCCCGGCAGCAGTGTCCCCATTGAGGTTCCAGGCCTCTTTCTAAAGCTTGTCCTCTCTCCCTTCCTTGCAGCATCCTCTTGGATGAAGAGGGGCACATTAAGATCACAGGTGGGTACCCAGCCCTTGCCCAGCTCGAAGCCCGCTTGTGCTAGACACTGTCTCTGTTCTGCCTCAGTTACTGTGGACGTGGGCCAGCTATGGTACTGCGTGGCTCCCACGAGCACTTGGAAATTGTAAAATTCCCAAACCCTGACCCTCAGGTTTCCCTTGGATCCCACTGACTCCTCTCAAGGACCTCCTCTGGGCCGCCTTGTCTGGTTCTCAGCCTTGCTGAGATCTGGGGTGTGGGTAAGGCCTGCGGCACAATCTGACAGTGACACGTGTCCCGAGCTGCATTTGCATGCCCCCCCCCCAATACATTCCTGGTAGCCTTCACTCCAGCATCACCATTTCTCTTGGCCCATGGCAAAATAACCAAACCAAACACCCTGCCATCCAGTCCACTTCATCACATGTACAACTGCCCCATAGGGTTGTCTTGGTAGACCACCAGGCCTTTCTTCTGCAGCACCAAAGGGTGGACTCAAACTGCCAACCCTGAGGTAGGAAGTTGAGCACAAACCTCTTGTACCATCTGGGGGCCTGTTGGCCACTGCAGACGCCTCCCTGCCTGCAGACACCTACTCAGCCTGTCCTCCTCACTGCCACCAGGGCGGAATCCGACTGAAGACACCTGCTGGTTCTGAGGCCCCATGTTCACAGCTCTCCTGCAGCTGCTGAAACAAGCCACCTGAAACTCAGGGGCCTAGATCAGTGTTCATTTCTCATCTCCCTGAGTGGGGGCGCAGGCCTACATGGCGGTGTCAGCAGATGGTCCAGGCTGGGCCACCAGGGGCCGCCCACCTCCCTCAGATCCCGGCCTTGCCTGACACCACTCCATCCTGCAGCTCCCTTCATATGAGGGTCCTGGGGGGGTCATATGAGCTCGCCCAGACAGTCGAGGGTAATCTTCCCCTCAAGACCCTTCAGTCCACCTCTGCCCTGAGAGGTGCCATGGACACAGACCTCGGTGAACACACAGATACCTGTGAGCCCTCCACTGTGGGGCCATGCTGCCTGGATGCTCCTGGGGAATGTCTGCCCCTTCCTAGTGCACCCCACCCTCCTCTGTCAGTGCCCCGCATTGTGGGCGCTGTGATTCTGGAAGCTATGCCACTGTATTTTAAATACCAGCACAGTCACCGATGGTGGACAGGCTTCATTGGCACTTTCAGACAAAGACAGACTCGGAAGAAGGAGAGGCGAACTGTTTCTGAATGTTGAGCCACTGAAAACCTTATAAATAGCCGTGGAACATTGTCAGATATAGTGCCATTAGATGAAATATTAGGAATAGCGCCAGAATATTGACAGATACAGTGTTGGAAGATGAGCCCCTCAGGTTGGAAGGCATCAAAATACAAATGGGGAAGAGCTGCCTCCTGAAAGCAGACTTGTCCATGATGACACAAATGGAGTAAGGTCTTCGAGATCTTCATTTCCTGATGGGGCACAAGAGAAACAGCTGTAAACATCCATTAATAATCAGAGCATGGAATGTATGAAGTATGAATCTAGGAAAATTGGAAGTTGTAAAAAATGAAACTGAACACATAAATATCAATATTCTAAGCATTTGTGAGCTGAAATGGACTGGTAGTGGCCATGTTGAATCTGACAATCACATGGTTTACTATGCTGGGAATGGCAAATTGAGGAGGAATGGCATCGCATTCAACTTCAAAAAGACATATCAAGATCTGTCTTGAAGCACAATGCTGTCTGTAATAGGATAATATCCATACATCCTACTAGGAGTCCTGGTGTGACGCTTTAATATCAGCACTGGACTGCGAACCACAAGGCTGATGGTTCAAACCCATCGGTAGCTCCTCAGAAACCCTATACATGTTCACTATGAGTGGAAACTGACTCGATGGCATGTAACAACACCAACAAGAAGGAAGCCCAGTTAATACTGCTAATATTCAAATTTGTGCACTAACCACTAAAGCCAGTGAGGATGAAATAGAAGAATTCTACCAACTTCTTCAGTCTGAAATTGATCAAATATGCAATCCAGATGTGTTCATAATCACTGGCGATTGGAATGCAAAGGTTGGAAATAAACAGGAAGGATCAGTAGTTGGAAAATATGGCCTTGGTGATAGAAATGATGTTGGAGATCGCATAGTAGAAGAAGACTAATGACTTCTTCATTGCAAATACATTTTTGAAACAACATAAGAGATGACTATACACATGGACCTCACCAGATGGAATACGCAGAAACCAAATTGACTACATCTGTGGAAAGAGATGGTGAAAAAGCTCCATATCATCAGCCAAAACAAGGCCAGGGGCAGGTTGTGGAACAGACCATCAATTGCTCATACTCAAGTTCATTCTGAAGCTGAAGAAAATTAAAACAAGTCCATGAGAGCCAAAATATGACCTTTAATAATCCCATCTGAATTTAGAGATCATCTCAAGAACAAATATGATGCATTAAACACTAATAACCGAACACCAGAAGAGTTGTAGGATGACATCAAGGACATCATAAAGGAAGAAACAAAAGGCCAATAAGAAGACAAGAAAGAAATTTAAAAATGTATGCTCATCCAACTTAGAAATTTGAAAGCAAATGGAAGAACTGAGGAGGTAAAATAGCAGAACAGAAAATTTCAAAGGGCATCTGGAAAAGACAGAGTCAAGCATTATGGTGAAATGTGCAAAGACCTGGAGTTAGAACCAAAAGGGAAGAACACATTGACCATTTCTCAAGCTGAAATAACGGGGGGAAAAAAATTTCAAGCCTTGACTTACAATATTGAAAAATTCTATGGGCAAATCTGTGCGCTGAGCAAATAATCTGAGAAACTGGATTATATGAAGAATAATGTGGCATCAAGATTGGAGGAAGATTCATTAACAACCTGCAATATGCAAATTATTGCAAGATTGCTTGATGAAAGTGAAGAAGACTTAAAATACTGATGAAGATCAAAGACCACAGCCATCGGTCTAGGTTGCACCTCAGTGTAAATAAAACAAAAATCCTCACCACCGGACCAAATAAACAACATTCTTATCAACGGAGAAAAGATTGAAGTTGTCAAGGACTTCATTCTTCTTGGATCAACTATCAACACTCATGGAAGCAGCTGTCAAGAAATAAAATGACGTATTGCATTAGGCAAATCTGCTGCACAAGACCTTTTAAAGTGTTGAAGAGCAAAGATGTCAGCTTGAGGACTAAGGTGCGCCTGACCCAAGCCATGGTATTTTCAATAACTTCATATGCATGCGAAAGCTGGACAGTGAATAAGGAAGACCGTAGAAGAATTGATGCTTTTGAGTTATGGTGTTGGAGGAGAATATTGAAAGTGCCATGGACTGCCAAAAGAACCAACAGATCTGTGTTGGATGAAGTGCAGCCAGAGTGCTCCTTGGAGGCCAGGATGACCAACCTTTGTCTTTCATACTTAGGACATATTGTTTGGAGGGACCAGTCTCTGGAGAAGGATATCATGCTTGTCAAAGTAGAGGGCCAGTGAAAAAGAGGAAGACCTTCATTGGATTGTCACAGTGGCGGCAGTGGGCTCCGGCATAACGGTTGTGAGGATGTAGTAGGACTAGATAGCGTTTCGCTCCATTGTGCTTAGGATCACTGTGAGTGGGAACAGACTCGGGGGCACCTAACAGCACCAACTATGCACTCAGGGATACCTAGCCCCCTCAGAGCTCCACTCGTGCCTGACCTCTGGGTCCCAGGTCTCTCTCCTGTGTCAGGGAGGGAACAGTCCCCAGCTCCAGCTTGTTGAGGACAGGGTTTGTCCTGTGAACCAGGGGTCCAGAGTCTAGCCATGAGCACACAGGAAACAAATGCCTGTTCTGAATGTGGTTAGACTCTGTTCTTTGTACTCAGACACTGCATGTGACGGGTGTATGGGCCAACCCCTAGCGGCTGTCACTGTGGAGTCAGGGAACCAAGCGTTCAGGTTGGTGGGGACTCTGGCAGGGGTCTGAATGTGACATGCGGGCTGAAGAAAGGCTTTGTTCTTACGTCTAGATTTCGGCCTGAGCAAGGAGGCCATCGACCACGACAAGAGGGCGTACTCCTTCTGCGGGACCATCGAGTACATGGCACCTGAGGTGGTGAACCGGCGGGGACACACGCAGAGCGCAGACTGGTGGTCCTTTGGCGTGCTCATGGTGAGGCTTCTCCCTGCCAACCCTGGGAGTCCCGCTCATGGTGAGACTCCTCCCAACCCTGGGGGTCCCGCTTATGGTGAGGCCCCTCCCCATCCTGTGGGTCCCGGCTCGTGGTGAGGCCCCTCCCCATCCTGTGGGTCCCGGCTCGTGGTGAGGCCCCTCCCCATCCTGGGGGTCCCGGCTCGTGGTGAGGCCCCTCCTGGTCCTGAGCATCTCTCAGCTGATGGAATCACCCTTCTGTCTTCTCAGACTGAGGGTTTTCCTAAGTTGGGCTTCCCCACTGCCAGTTTGGTTCAGAGATCCTGGATGGCTGAACAGGTGTCCAGTCTGCACCGTATTCTTACCTGGGCCTGATTCCTGAGTCTCACATCTCCTAGGGGCTGTCCACCCCAGATTCTTTCTGTAAAGACGAATGGTCTTGGAAACCCTTCAGAGGTTTGCTAAGATTCATGCAAAATCATCGGACAGTGTCATTAGTGTCACATGTAAAATTTTACTAATGATAGTTCTAAAAAATAGCTGCAACAGTGCATTGACAGGGAACAGCCAGAGGTTCAAGCTGGATTCAGATGAGGACATGGATCAAGGGATATCACTGCTGACATCAGATGGATCTTGGCTGAAAGCAGAGAAGACCAGAAAGATGCTTACCTATGCTTTATTCACTACGCAAAGGCTTTCAACTGTGTGGATCATGACAAGCTATGGACAACATTGCAGAGAACGGGTATTCTGGAAGGAACCTGTACATAGACCAAGATGCAGTTGTTCGAACAGAGCAAGGGGACACTAAATGGTTTAAAATCAGGAAAGGTGTGTGCCCAGGTGTTCTTTCACCACACTTACTCAACGTGTATGCTGAGCAAATAATCCGAGAAGCTGGATTATATGAAG